TGTGACGGGCCCTCAGGCTAGCTGAACATGTGCTGCGGAGACGGATCGACATCTAGCAATCATCTTTCTCGACAGTTAAATACCTGGACAGGAGGCTAACTTGGAAAAATCACATCATAGACAAGACAAAGCAACTCAAGTATAAACTGAAGAAATTCTATTGGCTCACTGACCGACGCTCCAACCTAAGCACACAGAACAAAATTAGCCTGTACAAGATAGATGCTAAGATCCCTAATTGATGCACCTTGGTATGTAACCAATGAAACAATACACCGCGACCTCAAGATACCCACAGTCAAAGAGGAAATAGCAAAATATAGCGACAGATATAGCAAAAGAGTCAACAAACACCGAAACCCCCTAATCACTGGACTACTTGATACGATGGACCAGATTCGCAGGCTGAAGAGACACTACCCGCTAGACCTAAACGCTAGATTCAATTAGTTATCTAAATTAAGTAATATTTACTTATTTATAATATTTACTTATAAATTATACTTATCTATAATAAGTATTAACTTGTTATAAATAATCAGCCATGTCACTGCGCCACGCCAGAAAAATTACTGACAATTCTCAACGCGAGAATTGATTGTAATTTTAATAAATAGATAAAAAAGAAAAAAAAAATCTTGCTCGAAGAATAGGGTCTGCGTGTGGCGAGCCACGGAACAGAAACCGTTGGAATGTTTACTGTCGCGTGCCGCCAGAAATATTTCTTTTAAGGAGAGCTATAGAATTACTCCATTACCTTTGTTAGACAAAGCGTTCATCCCGTGACCGCGACTACGTTCGGCGACTGGCTGTCGCCTCGCGGCCAAGCAACTATAGTAGACACTAGATTACAATGTTGCGGGATTATCCAAAATTCCAAAGGCTCCGGTGTTCTTTCATCTCCGACATATATATATAATTATAATAATAATTTAATAATTTCGGAATAATTTTTAGCAATACGGAAAACAATAACAGGGATGTTTCTAAAATTAGCTATTTCTTTTATTGAAGCTATCATTTACCATAGTTCTTCTTTTGATTACTCGTTTCTAACACGTTCAGCGAAATACTGAATGAAGTATTTCATTACATGTTGGTCCTTTATATAAGATTTCAAAGTTCGGAAATTACGTAACTATAAAATTTCTTTTTCGAAAAATTTACATTAACTTTGCAATTGAAACAGTTTGGAGTAATATTACGGTAGATCAATGTAAAAAATTAATAGAAGAAAATGTACCGAAGTGATAGGAAACAACGGATATTGGACAAAATATTGAAATTAAACAAAAATTGTGTATATTTTTTTACCAAAATTTATTACTTTTGGGTAGTTCTAAACTTTTGACCGAACGAAATATTATACAGATTTCGTTCATTGTTTATAACTTGGCTACCGAGGAAAATATCAAAATGAAATTTTTTTTGTAAGTGTACAAACAAATTTCTAATTAGTCAATACCAAAATTAGAACACTGTATTTATATTTTTTGTGGAAAGTAAATCAATTATTTAATTCTTCCATTTCGTCTTAAACTTTTGTCCGCTACCGTATATAAACAATTGAAGTTCAACCTTTATGAAGCTGACTCTTTTACTCGCCATCGCTGTGCGTATGCTCACGCTTATATTGCAATCAACTCTAGGAATTCAGGATATGGCAGCAGTTAGTCGAAATAAAAGTTCTGTTATACAAATTTCAATAAAATCAACAGCTATTTATTTTTTAATTTCCTCCATAATCTATATAAGTATCATATAAATGTTGAGATACATCTGCACAAAATACATCCAAATATCGAATATTCAGAAGAATAATGTTATCCACCAAGAGCAAAAGGATATTGACCGGTAGTTTTGAAGTAGTAGGTTCCTTTAGCTCTGTAAAGAAATTAACATATATTAGCATCAGTTAACTAAATTAAATTTTAAGAAATAATTAAACAGATATATTCAACAATTAGCTCTCAAGTATCTATCCAAATTCATACTTTTATGAACTCGGCTAAAAATGCAGGACCAAGAATTTTCACCTCCTAGATATTATAAAATGTACTGTCCACTATTTATTTGCATTCTACGCATTCTTCCAATTCCCCGGAAATGCATAAAGCTCCATAATCTATCAGTAACAGTAGTAAAATAAAACTTACTTCGGATCGGGGGTAGCACCACCCATGTATGCTGTTGCACCATCTGCACGTGTGCCGAGGAAGCCTTTCGGATTCGTAATTGATTCAGCGAAGAATTTGTAGCTACGCAAGTGTGCGCAAATTCCTGTGTTTCATATACATCGTACAAACAAATACACACAGACTGAGGCACGGAAATAATATTTTTTAAGTTGAAATGTATCAATAATAGAATATTCTCTAGTATGTTCCGTACCAAACAAGTCAATGCCGCATCCTGGTTGATGTCTTCCATCATTCGCATAGAAGTCTGAAGTACCAACAGACAGATAATAACCGTGCCCTCCAGCGCATGTGTGGATAATTTGAACATTTTCTGCGTCTGATTTATCAAGTCTTTCTCCGGGTTTTTTGTGTTGAAACATTACGTTGGAAGGATCGAGAGCTATAATGGCAAATACTTAGAGATTTAGTGTAATTTACTGTATCGTAATGATATTTCGCCGGACATAAAATCAACTCACATCAAAATATATGTAGTTCTTAAAAACGCATCCCTTCGAAATAAGATAATGTAAGAATATCTCCGACATTTTAAAGTTTATCGTTCAATCTTAGAAACCTCATTCATCTTTTTGCTGATATTTCATTTGCAAAACCAGATCAATCTACTCTACTGTTTTCAATCTGACGTTGAAATCAGCGCTATTGAATTTTCTCGGAGAACTTTAGGATGCCATTTTAATAATATATCGTTACTCACCGATAACTTCCGCCACTCGGCTCGATTTTCCTACCTCTCGCGCGCTCAAGCCCGCGATTTGAGCACCGAACGAATGCCCAACAATTTTCAAGTTAGACGTTCGCAAACCAGCCTCAGTTCGCATAAAGTTTATAAAACTAGCTGTACGTTGAGCAACGTGCGGTACGATCTCTGCGACGACAGAATAAATTAGTTTGTCCGCTATCTCACTCCAATCGAGAATAATAACGTTGCAGTCTCGGACCTTAAGAAAACCTGAGAACAAAAAATATTCTTCGTAATTAACATTAAATTATCGAGTATATGGTCACTGCCGCTCAAGAGCCGTAGCACACTTGTTCGCATTGATTAAGAACTGAATTCTTTGTACTGCATTTATGTTCCAAGTATTTTAATATGAATCTGTTATTTTATTAGTATTATATATGTCCTATAACGTAAACTACCACGCAAAGTTAAATTCTTGTAGTTTATCAACAGATATTTATGGCCGACAGTGCACATATTCCATAAAAAGGCATCTAAATTCGATACAACCGAAGTCCAGGAAGATTCTGTGGTTCAAATTAAGACGAAAATCAGGAGCAACGGAGTTGCGTTGAAGCCTTTATTTTCGACAAACTGGAGTTTAGAAATTAAATAAATATACGTGAATCTGCCTAGTTCTTAATCACACAGGAATACAAAATTGGAAAAACGGGTCTAAAATGTAGAATAAAATCATCCCGTTCTGTAGTTTTGAAGAAGACACAGTTTGACGTTCGTATAACGATACCTTATCTATTCAACAATATGTAGGTTAAACCTAAAAGGAATAATACTGGTATTCTCGACGTGAAAATATATTAAACAGAATACTTCGGAATTTTGAGGTCTTTTCAAAATTCTAGATCGCGCAATTTCATACAGCCGTATTCTTGGCGACTTTCGAATGTCAAGTTTTTTTGAAAAACGAAACCGTGTAATTGTAAAACGTAATTTTGTTGTTCTTCGTCTTAGTTCGAGTCATAGAATCTCCCCGAACTTCAATTACATCACGAATTTGCGCTCACAGCGTATCTACGTATTTACCATCGCGTATGGTAGTACAAACTGGAGCTTCACCGCTGTGAGACCAACCATGAGTGACTATAATGGTTTGTTTAGTTGCGTTCCAGTGACTGTTCCGGACGGACTCTACGTCATTTAGTTTTAGGATCTCGCCATCCGTGGGATTCTCTCTGGAAAATCATATTTGGCTGAAACTGTTGAACGTACCTTGAATCTGCCTGTGCAATATTCATCAAATCAACGTGAACTACCATGCAAAGTCAAATTCTTGTAGTTTATCAACAGATATTTATGGCCGACAGTGCACATATTCCATAAAAAGGCATCTAAATTCGATACAACCGAAGTCCAGGAAGATTCTGTGGTTCAAATTAAGACGAAAATCAGGAGCAACGGAGTTGCGTTGAAGCCTTTATTTTCGACAAACTGGAGTTTAGAAATTAAATAAATATACGTGAATCTGCCTAGTTCTTAATCACAGAGGAATAAAAAATTCGAAAAACGGGTCTAAAATGTAGAATAAAATCATCTCGTTCTGTAGTTTTGAAGAAGACACGGTTTGACGTTCGTATAACGATACCTTATCTATTCAACAATATGTAGGTTAAACCTAAAAGGAATAATACTGGTATTTTCGACGTGAAAACATATTAAACAGAATACTTCGGAATTTTGAGGTCTTTTCAAAATTCTAGATCGCGCAATTTCATACAGCCGTATTCTTGGCGACTTTCGAAAGTCAATTTTTTTTGAAAAACGAAACCGTGTAATTGTAGAACGTAATTTTGTTGTTCTGTATCTTTTTCTTAGTTCGAGTCATAGAATCTCCCCGAACTTCAATTATATCACGAATTTGCGCTCACAACGTATCTACGTATTTACCATCGCGTATGGTTGTACAAACTGGAGCTTCACCGCTGTGAGTCCAACCATGAGTGACTATAATGGTTTGTTTAGTTGCGTTCCAGTGACTGTTCCGGATGGACTCTACGTCATTTAGTTTTAGGATCTCGCCATCCGTGGGATTCTCTCTGGAAAATCATATTTGGCTGAAACTGTTGAACGTACCTTGAATCTGCCTGTGCAATATTCATCAAATACAAGACAACCTATAAAGAGGGAAATTGATATAAAGTAATACCAACCGTGTGTATAGCGTGAAGTTGATCGTATCCAAGTATGACTGATCGCATCCAAGTATGTGTCCAAAGTGAGGTTTTTAGGCAGGGGTTCTTCATTAATTTCAAAGCGAGTTATGTATCCATTTCCATCCGTTTTAAGTGTTGGACTGATATAGGTCAACATCGAAAGAACCATAGGATAAACTGAGAAAATTTCTTTCGTTACTAAGTTACCCGATTTTTCCGTATTTCGATCTAGAAAAATTCTGATACGAACGTGTTGATAATGGTACATTTACCATGGCTATCGTCGCTATTCACCACACACACCGTGATATTGTTTTACTTCTTCTTCTTCGTGTTTCGCCGCTTTTTTATACGTTGATGAGAAATAATAATTTTTCACTCGTGTAATGCACGGTTGGTAAGTGACTGATAGTCAATTGATGATGGATGAAAACCGACCCCACTGATGATGGATGAAAACCGACTAAACTGATAATGGATAAAGACCGATATAACTGATGATGATTGACGACCAACTCAACTAATGATGGATGAAGAGCAAAATTATTCCATAAGTAAGTGGTTAGAGAAATAAGGTGAATTTTTTAACTTTAACTTCCATCTTAAGTGGAAAGTTAAATTAAGTTAATTGCAAAGATTTAATTATTTGCTTTAAATATAATTTAATTTATTTCTCAAAAGTATATATATATATATATATGTGTGTGTAAATTCTATAGAATTTAGAACACCAAGCGAAGTTTTGACTTTCCCTATATTGGGAATCCATCGAACGATATAAATTGAGAAGGGTGGGTACTTAAGAAAGAAAAGGAGGAGATACTGGAAAAGACTTGGAAAATTGAATCTTGAGTTTTCACGAATCGATCGCCTGATTTCCAAAAATATTACGCCATTAATTATATATATATAATTATAATAATAATTTAATAATTTCGGAATAAGTTTTAGCAATACGGAAAACAATAACAGAGATGTTTCTAAAATTAGCTATTTCTTTTATTGAAGCTATCATTTACCGTAGTCCTTCTTTTAATTATCCGTTTCTAACACGTTCAGCGAACCACTGAATGAAGTATTTCATTATATCTCGATCCTTTATATAGGACGTCAAGATTTGGAAATTACGTAACTATAAAATTTCTCCTGCAGTAATACATAAATATACTCTAGAAGTTGTAGCTCTTCTTCTAAATTGTCCATTTACGAACAAAGCTTGCGAATTTATTTCCTTCCTTTATTAAAAACAGAAACAAATTCGCGAAGCATTCACGCAAAATCAGGAGAGAAAACAAATTCGATTCGACTAGAAACGAAATGAAGAAATTCTCTTACTTTACGTGTATTAAATGGTTAAATGTCACGTTTTCTCGGGACAATGATAAGGTGAAGATATTATAATACTTTTTCTTTTTCATTATTTTTATTAATTCGACGAGAGCAGAAACGTAGGATGTTCCGTAACAAGCATGGTCTTATGTCTGTTTTGTACAGCTGCGGATCACGTCCGCTGGAATTATGGGATATGCACGCAAGTTCATCAATATGAAGGAAACATAAGGAAAGATGACTCTATTTAATGAAATTAATAAAAATAGTTTCACTGTCAGATTTATCGCCATTAAATTTCTCCAAGTATTATATCTGTTCAGGTTAGTAAAATAAATTCCATTGCAATTAATCTGTTTGCTCCGAGTATCGATCGTCTCGAATTGGTGATGAATGGTCAAATTCGAAGAATAGCAGCCGACAAAGTAAGATCTCTAGCTCTGCAAATAGCCGGAATCAATTTCAACAGAAAACTCGTCTTCTGCCCAAATGGTTCTGTGGCGGCACTTCACGCCCACACCAGCAGTAGCACTGTCACTCACAACTATATCTTCACCTTAGTTCCAAGAAAGTCATCGGGATTAAAGAAGTAGGACACGAAGTACTTTACGTTCGTACGTATATGAACAATTGAAATTTAACCTTTATGAAGCTGACTCTTTTCCTCGCCATCGCTGTACGTATGCTCACGCTTATATTGAAATCAACTCTAGGAATTCAGGATATGGCAGCAGTTAGTCGAAATAAAATTTCTGTTATACGAATTTCAATAAAATCAACAGCTATTTATTTTTTAATTTTCTTCATAATCTATACAAGTATCTTACTAATATTGAAATACATCTGTACAAAATACATTCAAATATTGAATATTCAGAAGAATGTTATCCATCACGAGCATACGGATACTGACTGTTAACTTTGAAGTAGTAGGTTCCTTTAGCACTGAAAAGAAATCAACAAATATTAGCACCAGTCAACTAAATTAAATTTTAAGAAATAATTAAACAGATACATTCAGCAATTAGTTCTCAAGTATCTATCCAAATTCATACTTTTATGAACTCGGCTAAAAATGCAGGACCAAGAATTTTCACCTCCTAAATATTATAACATGTACTGTCCATTACTTATTTGCATTCTACGCATTCCTTAAATTTCCCGAAAATGCGTAAAACTCCATAGTCTATCCATAACAGTAGCAAAATAAAACTTACTTTGGATCGAGGGTAGGACCGCCCATGTATGCTGTTGCACCATCTGCACGTGTGCCGAGGAAGCCTTTCGGATTCTTAATTGATTCAGCGAAGAATCTGTAGCTACGCAAGTGTGCGCAAAATCCTGTGTTTCATAACATTCGTTTTTAACATCGTACAGACAAACACACACAGACTGAGGCACGGAAGTAATATTTTTTAAGTTGAAATGTGTCAATAATAGAATATTCCGTAGTATGTTCCGTACCAAACATGTCAACGCCGCATCCTGGTTGATGTTTTCCATCACTCGCATAGAAGTCTGAAGTACCAATCGAGATATTCATACCCAAATTTCCGGCACATGTGTGAAGAACTTGGACATTTTCCGCGTCCGATTCATCGATTCTTTCACCAGGTTGTTTTTCTTGAAACATTGGCATGGCAGGATCGAGTGCTGTAATGGCAAATATTTAAAGGTCTAGTATACTCCGCTGTATCATAATGTCGTTTTGTCAAACATGAAATCAACTTACATCAAAATACATATATTTTTTAAAAACGTATCCCTTCGAAATAAGATAATGTAAGAATATCTCCGACATTTTAAAATTTATCGTTCAAACTTGTAAACCTCGCTTATCCTTCTGCATATCTTTCATTTGCTAATCACAAATCAATCTACTCTACTGTTCTTAATCTGTTATTAAAATTGGCGTTACTGGATTTTTTCTCGGAGAACTTTCAATTGACACTTTAATAACATATCGTTACTCACCGATAACTTCCGCCACTCGGCTCGATTTTCCTACCTCCCGCGCGCTCAAGCCTGCGATTTGAGCACCGAGAGAGTGTCCAATAATTTTCAAGTTGGTCGTTCGCAAACCAGCCTCAATTCGCATAAAGTTTATGAACCTAGCTAAATACCTGGCAACGTGCGGTACGAACTTTATGACTTCGTAATAATTTATGTAGTCTGATATTTCACTCCAATCAAGAATAATAACGTTGCAGTCTCGGACCTCAAGGAAAGCTAAGAACAGGAAATTTTTCTTTGTAATTGATATTAAATTATCGCATATATGGCCACTACCGCTCAAAACTCGTAGGACACTTGTTCACATTGAATAACTATTGAATACTTTTTACTGCGTTTATGTTCCAAGTATTTTAATATGAATCTATTATTTTATTAGTATTATATATGTCCTACAACTTGAACTACCACGCAAAGTCAAATTCTTGTAGTTTATCAACAGATATTTATGGCCGACAGTGCACATATTCCATAAAAAGGCATCTAAATTCGATACAACCGAAGTCCAGGAAGATTCTATGGCTCAAATTAAGACGAAAATCAGGAGTAACGGAGTTACGTTGAAGCCTTTATTTTGGGCAAACTGGAGTTTAGAAATTATACAAATATACGTGAATTTGCCTAGTTCTTAATCACACAAGAATACAAAATTGGAAAAACGAGTCTAAAATGTGGAATAAAATTATCTCGTTCAGTGTGTAGTTTTGAAGAAGACACGGTTTGACGTTCGTATAACGATACCTTATCTATTCAACAATATGTAGGTTAAACCTAAAAGGAATAATACTGGTATTTTCGACGTGAAAAAATATTAAACAGAATAATAGCAATAGAACCTTCACCATACAAAAGAAACACAACTCAGTGTATCCGATGCGAAAAATATGGGCACACCATGAACTACTGTAACAGAATTCGAGCATGCGTTAAATATACCGAGATTAACCTTTTTATTTTATAATATTTTTCCTCTGCTATTTGTATATTTTTCTTTTTATTATTTAATTTGTACTTTACAATTTGTCCAGCTGGACATTCGATAAATATTTCTGTATGAGGATGTTAAAAAGGTTAATGAAGTCACTGAGATTTGTGGCATGTGAGCGGTTATCCCCATTCAGATGCAATCGCAAAGTGACGATGTATTAAATTGTGCCAAAATTTCCTTTCGTTTTATGCGGAATTAATACACACAACATTTTTTCTTTTCTATTATTTTATCGAATCACGTATGATCGTAATGGTAGAAATGTAACAAAATGGATCATACATAGTTCAATAAAATAATATAAAAGTAAAAGTGTTGTGCATCTATTATTTCCTTGTAGAACGAAAGAAACATTTGTGACAACCTAATATATACACACACTTGTACGCGTTTGCCATGACCGGTATGTACTAATCATTTATACTGAGACACGTGGAGGTGATATGGACATTTCGAGTGATGTGGTCGTAAACTTTTACTGCTAATTCTTTGCTGTATCGTTCAACACAATTGCGTATCTCCTCCTACTTCGGAATTTTGACGTCTTTTCAAAATTCTGGATCGAGCAATTTGATATTGCCGTATTCTTGGCAACTTTCGAAAGTCGTCTTTTTGAAGAACGAAACCGTGTAATTGTAAAACGTAAATTTGTTGTTCTTTATCTTCGTCTTAATTCGAGTCATAGAATCTCCCCGAACTTCAATTATATCACGAATTTGCGCTCACAGCGTATCTACGTATTTACCATCGCGTACGATTTCACAAGCTAAACCGCCTTGTATCCAACCATGAGTGATTACAATTGTTTGCTTGCTTGCGTTCCAATGACTGTTCCGGACGGACTCTATGTCATTTGGTTTTATGATGTCTCCATTTGTGGGATTCTCTCTAGATGAAAAATCATATTTTACTGAAACTGTTCAATGTACCTTGAATCTGCCTGTTCTGAATATTCATCTAACACAAGACGAGCTACATGCTTGTCTTTTCGCTACGAAACATGTTTTAGCCGTGCCGACCCGCGAATTTTAATGTTTCAGTTTTATTCTCATCTCAACATGCAACAGCGATGTGTAATTCTTTAAAAAATATTAATTAGTCCTTATATTCATCTTTCAAACATTATCATCGTAATTAGATTGCCAATTTTTATTCGTCTCTCGATAATTCAAATATGCAAAATGTACATAAAGATATTCCGTAAAGAAGGAAATTGATATAAAATAAAACCAACCTTGTGTATAGCGTAAAATTGGTCGCGTTCAAGTAGGTGTCTAAACCGTAGTATTGAGGCAGTGGGGCTACGTGGATGCGAAAGAGAGTTAAGTATCCATCTCCCTCTGTTCTAAATAGTGGATTTGCATAGACCAATATCGAAAAGAGCGTAGGATAAACTGAAAGAATTTCTTTCGTTACTAAGCTGCTCGATTTTCCTCGATCTAGAAAAATTCTGATACGAACATTTTGACGATGATACATTTATCGTGACTGACATCGCGATTCTCAACACACACCGCGATATTGCTCTTCTTTTTCGCTTCCGTGTTTCGCCGCTTTTTTATAGGTTTATGGAAAACAGTGATTTTCCATTCGAGTACTGTACGGTTGGCAAGTGACTGATAGTCAATTGATGATGGATGAAGAGCGACTCACACTGACGAATCTAATTTTTTAACTGCAACCGATGTACGAACTTAAGTGGAAAGTTAAGATAAGTTAATTGCAAAGAATTGTTTATTTATATATATATATTTGAAGTCAAACAGTACGTAATCATTTCTAGTAATACGAAAAACAATAACAATAATGTTTCTAAAACTAGTCATTTCTTTTATTGAAGCTGTCACTTATCGTAGTTCTTCTGTTGATTACTTCTATCTAACACGTTCAGCGAATGAAGTATTTCATTGTATCTCGGTCCTTTATATAGGATGTCGAGATTTGGAAATTAAGTTGTAATTGTACTAAGTAAGTACTAATTGATGCTACGCTGATACATAAATGTGCAAACGTAAATACGTAAACGCAAAAATGCTCCAGTGTTTTCCTCACGTCGTAGCTCTTCTTCCAAATCTTGCATTTTCAAAATGAAAGTAGGAAACAGAGTATAATTAGGAACAAACATGTAATATTATCCAGAGAGTATATCGTCTGAGTATTTATTTAGCATAATTACGTAATTTGTCTGTATTATCCTAACTATTTAAATACTTCCATACGACATCACAAGTTCTCACTCCATTATAATGTATCTGTCATAATTTATTTTCGTTAAACGCTGTTTCTCGATGCTGTTACTCTTAAGTCCAACTTACGTTGTTGTTAGAATACCTAGTATTGTTTTATATCGAATATTACTTGATTAATATTTTTATATTATACACAGACTCACATTGTATTAAATTAACGAATTAAAATTTAACACTAATATAATAACTACACGTCGCTTATAGAATTATAAACATACCTTCGATGACAAGTGTAGAATGCCAGAGCCTTTGAACATTTTCCTGCTTCGTTCGACGTTTTTCAAACTTGACATTGAACTTTGCATGATGAATCATTATACAGTGAATCATGTTAGAACTATATACATATAACTATTACAAATATGAACAACATTAGTATTTCCAGCCGTAAAAAAATTTCCTTCGTCGGTTATCTTTAAAAGTATTATGCTAATTTTGTAAAAAATATGTTAATACATTTTTATAGGACGATGCAACAAACGTGACAAGATATCTATCTTCATTGCCTACTTCTATCGATTTCTATACCCAATATCCACTCATCCGATTCTCTTTACAATTATCTCTTATATTTACGTCTCCCTAACTCTTTGATATTCAAACGTACCCATTTCTTCCCATACATTCTGTTCTGTAACAAAATATTTAATCTGATAGAGGACAACAAAAATTCAGGTCAAACTGAAACGCGGTATCATGTACTTTGCGATGATGCGATCGTGTATTCAGCGTCGGGATGTCATAGAACACGTTGGTTTGCTAATGGTGAATGGAAGACTATCAACGAGCTTCTTCGTAACGCATAAGACGTGAAAACAGCACTTTCATGAAATAGCATCTATCCCTTTGTGCTCCCAACTTTCATTGTGTTCGATATGATCGACATGTACGATCGAATAAAACTTGCGAGTCTATTTCTTTCCTTCATTAAGATCATAAACAAACTCGCCAAACATTCACACAAAATCAGGAGAGAAAACAAATTCGATTCGACTAGAAACGAAATAAAGAAATTCTCTTACTTTACGTGTATTAAATGGTTGAACGTGACATTTTCACGGGACAATGATAACATGAAAATATTTTAATACTTTTTCCTTTTGATTATTCGTATTAATTCGATGAGAACAGAAACGTAGGATGTTTCCCAACAAGTATCAGCATGGATTTATGTCTATTTTGTACAACTGCGGATCACGTTCGCTAGAGTTATGAATGGATAATATGCACGCAAGTTTATCAATATAAAGAAAACATAAGGAAAGATAACACTATTTTGTGAGATTAATAGAAATAGTTTCACTGGTAGATTTATCGCCATTAAATTTCTCCAAATATTGTACCTGTTTAAGTTAGTAAAATAAATTCCATTGCAATTAATCTGTTTGCTCCGAGTATCGATCGTCTCGAACAGGTGAAAAATGGATACATTCGTAGAGTAACAGACGACGAAGTAAAATCTCTAGCTCTGGAAATTGACAGTGACAGTACAGTGTCTTCCGATAAAAAATATACAGTTTCATTGGAATTCTTATACAAATTTCAGAAAGATAAAATTCAATTAAAGCATTATGTGAAATGATAGAATCATTTTGATATTATATACACTGATTCAAACGATGCAAACAAAAAATATAAAATAATTTACCCGCGTCCTTTATTACTATGAAACGTCGTAATCATCATCTTCTCTTTTCCTTTTCATAGAATCCTCGATCTCTACTTTGATAGGCGGCATTGTTTGTCCTGAAGAAATCTGTATTTTTGGCTTGGCTACTTGTGCCTTTACGGTAGCTCCTCCAGTTGTGGCTATAAATTTAAACAATTAATATAAATAAAAAATGAAAAATATAGTAGCAAATATTATTATTACGTACACAATTTTGTATCTTACGTATTAATGAAATATGGATAGAGGGAATAGATGTTTGGGAATGCAAGGTCCGGAAGGGATCTGTGATACGATGTAATTAACAAATTAGTTCCTGTTATATATTCTTTACTTTCCTGTATCATTTACCTGTTGAAAATTTCAGGACAGGTTTTGGCATTGAAATGCTTTGAGTCCTGGCAACTGTCGCAAGTGTCCCGGGCCTTTTAACTATGGAGAGGCCAGATTTATTACTTTCCACTTTGATCTTAGACTGACCACTTTGAATGTTATTTCCAACCAAAGAATGCAGTGGTTTCCCAACTATTTTCTTCGTTGAATTCTTAAGTTTATAATTTGTTGCATTCAGGCAAAATCTGTCAGGTGGTAATCTTAAACCACTGTTTGATTTGACAAATGGCAGTGGTACATTGTTTTTTGCCCGAGCAACATCTAGTAACACGTCTCTTGGGGGTGGATTTGTAAACGTACGTTCCAATTGCATCTTAACTGCTAATCTAACGTCATCCAAATCGATAAACTTCTTTTTAGCATGATTTGCGTAAATTCTACTGTCGTCTAATATACAAGTAACATAACCTGCGGAATTTAAACCGAAAATAACTTTATAGCTTACTTCCAAATGCAAAATCATGCACGATTTTATACTTCATTTCATCTACATTACTTTAAATAAATTATAAATATAATACATTACGTACGATACGTAAATTCGAGCAATTGGTTTATAACCTTCGAATCGTAATCTGTTATTCCCATGTCTTTCATAATTGACATTATAACTTGAGCATCTTTCGGAATATGTTTTACGTGGCTCATAATTTTCGCTCTCTCCGACATTTTAAAAACTACTTCTCTTATAATTGCACTTTCAAGTAAAAGTACGAGTAAACATTATAAATCATACGCCAATATCATGCAGTGCTACCATTTATAAAATTTAAACTTTACAAGATCAGAAGTTTATTATTTTAAAATTTCGTAATTAATAATAAATATTCTTTGTTGTAATCATTTTTACTATCAAATATTTTTTTCGAAAATCGAGAAGCAACTATATGGGAAAATGTGAAAAAGTTTGAGAATTTGATAATTTTATCATCAATGTTAGTGTGGTAGTCGTTAAAACAGCTTGCGGCATATTTCAGTTGAATTTGGTTGAAGAGTTCGTAGTTCGGTATTTGCTATTTTGCTATCAAACTCTCTTCGGGAGTCTTTGTTGCAGGCAGACGTATTGTACGAAAACGAAAATGAATATCACATCAGCAGGTAAATTATGTGTTTTAAGTAGGATAGTAAATGTATATCTAGTTTTTATTATTTACAAATTTATTAGTACATTTTTACATTGTGTTTGATTGTCAGACATGCAATGATTTGCAAATCTCGTGGGCCATAACCTATATAATTTTGTATTCGGAGTATTAAATATAGTCGTTTAGTTGATATTAACAGACATCGAGTTTTGTTTTATGATTTTAACGTTTTTTAAGTTTAATTGATTAATCAACTTTTTTTATCTTATTTCAGCTGGTATCATTTCCCTCCTTGAGGAGCCGATGCCTGAATTAAAGGTGTTTGCATTGAAGAAGTTGGATATGATAGTAGATGAATTTTGGCCTGAAATTTCTGAGGCCATAGAAAAAATGTATGTACTGTATATATCATCATCTATTTTTTTTTAAGATAATTTTAATGTTTTATTTAACAGAATGTTATATTTTTCAGTGAGATTCTTCACGAAGATAAGGCATTTCCACAACATGACTTAGCTGCATTAGTTGCTAGTAAAGTATATTATCACTTAGGAAGTTTTGAAGATTCTTTGACTTATGCTCTTGGAGCTGGAGAGCTCTTTGATGTTAATGCCCGCAATGAATACGTTGATACTACTATAGGTATTTTATTGACTGTTAGTGTTAGATTTTATTGGGTAGAGATTCTTTATTATTCTGTATTATTTCAGCTAAATGTATTGACTATTATACTCAACAACGTGTGTTGGAAGCTGAGGGAAAATTACCACCAAATAGCAAAGGAATCGATCCAAGATTGGAAGGAATTGTAAACAGAATGTTTCAACGATGTTTAGATGATAATCAATATCGGCAAGCTTTGGGTCTTGCTCTTGAAACAAGAAGGATGGATATCTTTGAAACAGCAATTATGCAATCAGTAAGTTATATTACATGTTAATTTATGCAAGTAATGTAATATAGATAATATAAAAATTATATTTATTAATATGTTTGTTGTAGGATGATGTTAGTGGTATGTTATCCTATGCCTTCCAAGTTGTCATGAGTCTTATTCAGAATCGTGGATTTCGTAATACTGTGCTTCGTTGCCTAGTGAGCCTTTATCGTAACTTGGGAACACCAGACTATGTCAACATGTGTCAGTGTTTGATATTTCTGGACGACCCATTAGCTGTAGCTGAACTTTTAGACAGACTCAGTAAAGGCTCGCAAGATTGTGTTCTTATGGCCTACCAAATTGCATTTGACTTATACGAATCAGCAACTCAACAGTTCCTTGGTCGTGTCTTACAAGCTTTGAGAGCAACAGCTCCTATCCCAGGAGCCCTTATGGTTAAACCAATTGTAAAACCAGCTGTAAAAGCAACCACTGAAGTTAGCACTGAGTCTGCAGCAGCAACAACAGCAGAGACTGAAAACAGTAGTAGTACACCAGCTCCAGAAGAGAAATCTCAACGTAGTGTTGAAAGTTTGGTAAGTCTTATGGTTTAAAGAAATAATACTATACAACATTTACTATATAGCAATACACACTGTGCCAATTGATTATTTCACTTGTATAGAATGCCGAAGAACGTGAGCAACAAGAACGCGTAGATGCTTTGTCAAGTATATTAGGCGGAGAAATTTCCATCGATTTGCATCTCCAATTTCTTATTCGTAGTAATCATACCGATATGCTGATACTGAAAAATACTAAAGATACTATACGTGTGTCTATTTGTCATACTGCCACCGTAATCGCGAATGCATATATGCATTCTGGAACTACTAGCGATCAGTTTTTAAGGTAAATATACCTCACTGTATTCAACTGATCTTACGCGGATTATATTCTCAAGGAATATATTTATTTTTCACTTTATTTGTTTCACATTTTAGAGATAATCTAGAATGGTTGGCTAGAGCTACGAATTGGGCAAAATTAACAGCTACTGCATCCTTAGGAGTAATTCACAGAGGTCATGAACAAGAAGCCTTAGCTCTAATGCAATCTTATCTCCCACGAGATACTGGTGCGGGAGCTGGTTATTCCGAAGGAGGTGGCCTGTATGCGTTAGGGCTCATTCATGCAAACCACGGCGCAGCAATTACAGATTACTTACTTGGCCAGCTGAAGGACGCACAGAACGAGGTATAGTGGTCCGTAGAGATATAGTGTGATCATAAAATCAATTGAGTGGTAAAGTAAATGCGTTTCGAGCGACGAAACAACGAATTAAATGATAAATCGGGAGATAAGAAACTTGAAGTTACTGATAACGTCAATTGAAACCGCTATCTAATATTGTTAAACCGATTAAATTACTATCATATCATATCATATTTTTTTCTTAATTTTATTAAGTACTTGAAACTTCGGTAGAAATCGATTTCAGTCTGGGGCAACTATACGTCACTATCGTTTTTTTATCTCAGTTTGGAACCATACGATGTCACATATTTAGAATCTGCAATGATTTTCTTACAGATGGTTCGTCATGGAGGTTGTTTAGGCTTGGGTCTGGCCGCTATGGGATCGCATAGGCAAGATGTATACGAACAATTGAAATTCAATCTTTATCAAGACGATGCTGTTACTGGCGAGGCTGCGGGCATTGCTATGGGCATGGTCATGCTTGGATCGAAATCGACGCAAGCAATTGAAGATATGGTTGCGGTAAGTAAAAGTAGACGTTCTTTTTAAGATTTTAATGAACCATCACATCAAGAGTTATTTACATCCCAACTCGAGTTTAATATTTACATATTCAAAATACACGCGAAGAATAATTTTATCCACCACTGACGATCTTTCTCGCGTGCACTGTTCTGGCGCGGAGACTCGTTCAGCGGGAGTGCCGCGACGAAGAAGCCGCCCGTAGCGAAAGGGTTAAGACGACGCCTTTGCTCGGCATCGCTATGCGTATGCTCATGCTTGCATCGAAATCAACTCAAAGAATTCAGAATTATTTTTTAATTTCCGACATAATCTATACAAGTATCTTACTAATATTGAAATACATCTGCACAAACTACGTCCAAATATTCAAAAGAATAATGTTATCCATCAATAGCAAAAGGATATTGACCGGTAGTTTTGAAGTAATAGGTTCCTTTAGCTCTGTAAAGAAATTAACATATATTAGTACCAGTTAACTAAATTAAATATTAAAAAATAATTAAACAGATATATTCAGCAATTAGCTCTCAAGTATCCATGCAAATTCATGCTTTTATGAATTCAGCTAAAAATGCAGGACCAAGAATTTTCACCTCCTAGATATTATAACATGTATTGTCCATTATTTATTTGCATTCTACGCATTCTTCCAATTCCCCGGAAATGCATAAAACTCCATAATCTATCAGTAACAGTAGTAGAATAAAACTTACTTAGGATCGAGCGTAGCACCACCCATGTATGCTGTTGCACCGTCTGCACGTCTACCGAGAAAGCCTTTCGGATTCGTAATTGATTCAGCGTAGAATTTGTAGCTACGCAAGTGTGCGCAAATTCCTGTGTTTCATAACATTCGTTTTTAACAGTGTACAAACACACATGCACAGATTGAGGCACAGAAAGCGTGGAAATAATAATTTTTAAGTTGAAGTGTGTCAATAATAGAATACTCCGTAGTATGTTCCGTACCAAGCAAGTCAATGCCGCATCCTGGTTGATGTCTTCCATCATTCGCATAGAAGTCTGAAGTACCAATAGGTAGAGAATAACCGAACTGTCCAACGCACGTGTGGATAATTTGAACATTTTCTGCGTCCGATGCATCAACTCTTTGATCAAGTGCTTTGTCTTCAAACATTACCCTAGCAGGGTCGAGTGCTATAATGGAAAATATTTCAAGGTCTAATATATTCCACTGTATCATAATGACGTTTTGTCGGAGATCAAATCAACTTACATAAAAATATGTATATAATTTTTAAAAACGTTTTCCTTCGAGTTAAGATAATCTAAGAATATTTTCGACATTTTAATGTTTATCGTTCAATCTTAGAAACCTCATTCATCTTTTTGCTGATATTTCATTTGCAAAATCTAATCAATCTAACGTTAAAATCATCGCTACTGGATTTTTTTCTGGAGGATTTTAGAATGCCATCCTAATAATATATCGTGACTTACCGACAATTTCCGCTACTCGGCTCGATTTTCCTATCTCTTGCGCGCTCAAGCCCGCGATTTGAGCGCCGAATGAGTGTCCAATAATTCTCAAGTTGGACGTTTGCAAACCAGCCTCAGTTCGCATGAAATTTACGAAACTAGCTACATGGAGAGCAACGTGTGGTACGTCCTTTGCAACGATGGGATATATCAAGTTGGCTGATATCTTACCCCAATCGACGACAATGACGTTCCAATTCTTCACCTTAATAATAGCTGAAAAGAAAAAATATTACTTGTCATAATATTGAAGTATTGTAATATTGAAGTATATAGATACAAGCTGGATATTTTTTACTGCTCTTACTTTCTAAGTATTCTACTATAAATCAAAAATAACAAAATTATTTCATTGGTGTCTTATAATTTAAAATACTAAATAAAGTAAAACCTGTTTTTAGTTTTTCAGTAGATATTTATTGCCAGCAGTCTATACATTATTGGAAACCTAAATTCTGTACAACCGAAGTGAGAAAGATTCC